CCGCTGGTTCGCCGAGAAGTTCCTCAAGGGCGAGGGCGGCGGGGACCCCTGCGGGCAGCTCTTCAAGCGCTACCAGCTCTGCGTGCAGGTGCGTGCGGCCCCGGCCCCGGCCCTGCCCGCGCCCCCGCCCCGCCGGGCCGGTACGCGAGGGCCCGCACCCCGCTCTTAGTGCTGCCCCTTTCCGCCCCAGGGCTTCTCCCACCGGACTTAACTCCCCGTACCCTCCCCCGGCAGCCCCTCCGCGCTGCTGCGGATTGCCGCCCGCCTCCTCTCTCTGCCGGTCGTGACGTATAATGTTTTACAGGTGTCGCTTACGGTGTTCTTCTCGTTAATGCGACTTGTTAAGCCTGCTGGTTTAGAGGCTGTGGCGCATTGATGCGACAGGGTCTGGACTGTAGTTCAGCGTGAGTCCTCGGTATATACTTGAGCATCTCTAATATTGAAGCGTTATCCAAATCAGTCTTAAGACTACTTTTTCTAGATCATGCTTCGTACCAAAGATTACATCACTTAGCGCTATAAAGACACGTCAAGTTTTATCTTTTACTTTTGTTTTTCTTCTTTTCAGAAAGCCATCAAGGAGAAGGACATACCCATCGAAGGCCTGGAGTTCATGGGCCCAAGCAAAGGAAAAACTGAAAACTCCTCTTGACCTCAACTGTACGGACGGCGTCGCTAGTACGAGCCTTCGGACTGAGCCACGTCACCAGGCACAGGACTAGACCCACCTGGATAAGACCTTTGTTAAGCTGCTTTCTAGGAAGCAAGGCATCTTCTCTGCTTGTAAAAACAAACAGCCGCACAAAAAAAAAAAAAAAAAAAAAAAAAACAAAAAAAAAAAAAAATAAGACAGAAAAGGACTGGATCCTGTGGTAACTACTGCCTCCTTTTCAATGAATTTTGGTGGTGGTTCAGCATCTAACAGCGTGAAAAGCCGTTTGAACTAACTTCTTATTGAATGTACTGCATAATGGGAGAACGCGTATTAGAGTGGGCTGAGACAGTAGGTGCTTTGTGACCAATTTCTCTTGCTTATTTATATAACACTTGAAAGTGTTTAGAAACTAGGGTAGGAAGGAGGTTAATTTACTTTGTCTCCTCTCTATGCTGCTGAATTTTGGTGGAAGAAGTTTGTTTTATACGATCCTGAATGCTGAGGGCCTAAAGCGTTGTTTTGTATCAGCAACAGAGATGGTATAAAAGCGCTCTATTGGACCTGCAATAACGTAGCTAAAATAAATATAACCAGGTTATATTTTGTTCAAGTAAATAACTGTCCAGTAGAATCTGATTGTGACCTCTAGGAGGGATGGAGGTGGGCTGCAACAGGAGCTGAAGAGGATGCTTTTAATGCAGAGGCTAATTCTTCAGCCTTTTCTGAGGTACTGAAACAATCCTGAACTTGAATTCTCTCTCCTTGAGCATTATGTGCTCCTGCAGTAAAACTGCAGCGCAGCCCTGGCCGTCCCTTTCCCCGCTACCACAAAGCGCCAGGCTGGCCACGCTCACCGCTGCCATCGCTGACTTGGGGTAGTTAAAGTGCGCGTTGAATGAGGGAAACGTTGGGCCGAAGCTTGACGGCTGATAACGCTCAAAGCCCCAGCTGCCGCCTGGGGATCTCAGCTGCTCACAAAGCTGCTCCTGAACCTGTGTACTTTACACCTAGGAAAGCAAACAGAAGTTATTTGTGCTGGCTTGTAAGCTGCAGAAACGCTTGCGGCGACTAGAAAAAGGGTGTTTGGAAGAGAAGCACGGGATCGGGATCCATCCCGTCCAGCGGCCCTGTGAGCGCTGTGGCAGGGGAGGGGATTTCTGTGGATCCTTGTACAGGGACGGGCAAAAGCTGTCCCTGCTCGTTACACCGACGCAGGTGAAAGAGTATAAAATACTGCGGTCTGGGGACGAAAGAGAAGTCAACTTCCTAATTCTCCTAGAACTGCAGTGAGGAGAAAATTGAGCTTCCCTCTCAGCTTTTAAACACTACCTGAAGGATCATTCAGAGGTTTTACTTTTTTAAAACCTTTAAAAAAAAGTTGTTCTCAAACGTAATAGCTGGCTCATCCGCACCACAGCTCTGAGTAATCCCCCCAGACACCGAGAGCAGCGTGGGACTTGTGCAGAAGATCAGGACTCGCGGCAGGCTGGGGCCGTCGCTCCCCGCGTCTGCAGCGATGGCCTGATCGCGTCGGCCGGAGCGCAGTCGGGCGCCCGGGTTAACCCCGCTCCTCTTCGCTGCCTGAGACGGCCGCCGCAGCGGCAGCACGGGGATTAAACGCAGCACTTGGAAAACAAGCTGTTGACACTTAAACTGCTGGGTCGCTCGGGTATAAATAAAAATAGTGAGTTAAGGGAAAGGTCTCTCTAAGAGCACGGTAAATAGCATTTTGTGGACTGCTGAGTATGTGGCTTTTTTTTTTTTAAGGAGTAGCACATACAACCAGTTTGCTTTTCTATGATCTTCATGTAGGAATAAACGTAGTGCGAGTTTGTCAGTTAACTTTAAAACTACTGTGTCCATTAGTGCCTTGTTCTGTGCTTTTAACACAGAAAAGCTTGTCCTAGCTGTCATTTTACTACTAAGTGGATGAAATAAATGGCATTGAAACGTGGGGAAGGGTGAGATCCTGCTTTCAGATTCTCACATCGCTCCTTTCGGCAGCAAGATGCCAAGTCAGCTGCTGCGTTCTTCCTTTTGGGAAAAAGAGTATTAATGGCAGCTAAGACACAGCTTGCGCTTTCATACCATGCAAAAAAACGTAGAAGTTGCAGGAGGACTCGGAAAACGGTTGACTGGCAGAGAGGAAAAACTTCAAAATTAACATTGTGCTGGAACAGACTCAGGGCTTTAGAACTGGCTGTTAGCTGTGGAAGATAATTAAGCTCTTCCAGGTTACGAAACTTCCGAGTGACACAGCATACGCTACGCAGACGTACGCAGCGGAGCAAAAACTGTATTTTCATGTATAACACCTGTACGAGAGACTTCGTACTGCCAGACTGCGGCTTTATGGAAAGCAGAGTTGCGAGCAACGTACGTGCCGATACGCCAGAAAATCTGAGCGCCGAATGAAGATTCGCATTGTGAAGGCACACAGGGCTTAGTTAAACGGTTAAACGTCTTTGCTGCCACTGCCTCGCCCAGAGGGGCTAAGAGAAAATTGCCTTCATGGCTGTTAATAAATACTGCAATAGCTTCAGCGTATACTGAATGTTAATAATTTTAATGTACAGTATTAGGCTGATCCCTGTTCATCTGGCTGCGAGCTGAGGGTTTACAGTGATCAATTAAACCAGACATGAAGAATATGAAATGGAGTAACGTCCTGCGCTGAACGCGTTCCTGTCGCTAGCATTACCAGATACGGGAGCAGGTATTGACGTTCAGGCAGTCAAACCCCTTTGCTCCTGCGCTGAATCCTGTGGGAAGCCTCAATGCTTCCAGCAAACACCGAACTAAAGAACTTCTAAGGGTTCAGATTAACAAAAAAGTCAGATCCTCAATTCGAGTTCAGAGTTGTTTATTTAAAGGACCTCTACACGAGTACAGACAGAGGCCACAACGCCATTCGGCTTCATCACGGAAGGAATGTGGAGTTTTTTAAATGATGGTTCCCTAAGCGATGGTTCCCACACAACATTCTGGTCCAAGACGGGACGAGCCAAAGTTCTGGCTGTGGTCGGGATCTTACTGTTCGTCTTCGTAACCGGTTGGGAGGGCATTAACGTGGGGGTTGTGGAACAGAGTTTTGTTCCCATCACCCCAGGGGAAAGGCTGTTGAAAGAAAAAAGAAAAAAGCCGGTGGCAGCTGACAACGATCTGCAGCACAGGAAATCAACAGCGGTAGGGGCTCAAACATCACACAGCTCAACGGGCTGATGAGTTCAGCAAGTTGGCATCTGTTCCCGTAGGAAGCAAGAGCTGGAAAAGTCTCCCTTAGCTGGGAGCCAGCCTCTCTAGACAGCAAGGTCCTTGCTCTTGCTTAAACATCAGCTGCGCTGGACTGTGAGGACCCCAGATTTGAGAATTTGGGATCTCCTGTTAGCTTTTAGATCCGCATTAGTTTAAGGCACGTACAGCAGCTCTAGGACCGAAATGTTTTTCAGCAAGACGTTAGCAGGATTACTTGGGGGCGGGAAGGCCTGCGAACACCACGGGCACTTTGCCTGAGCTGCGAGAAACTTCTGCTGCCTCAGAAACAAAGCCAGGCGTTAAGGTCGCGTAGGCAGGCACCTCCGATGGGGAGAACGAGAGGGCCTTGGCCGTACCTTGGTCCTGATGCGGAGGTGAGCGTAAGGAACGAACTCGGGCCGCTGGTGCTCGTGCTGCGCCTTCAGGTAGCAGTTCAGCATGCAAACGCCAACCCCGGGCAGGGCCACCACGAAGGTCAGGAGCTTCCACAGGCGGGCTAGCAGGGAGCGTTACATGGGTTAGCGCCACGCTCGCCGTCTCCGTCAGCCCTAGCGACCCGCGAGCGCGTTAGGTCAATTAGCGCGTTAGCGAGGCGTTAGGCCCCCGGGGCCCGGCTCTCCCTCCCCGCCCCGGCGGGGACCGCGGCTCACGGCTGCAGCCG